GACATTAAAAATCAAAACACTAACATTAAAGTTCAGCTTACGTATCAAAGTAAAATTCTAATTTGAAGCGAAGAACTAGCACTTAAAAAAATTAAATTAATAAAAGCTGACTAGTTTAGACAATAGACAATATTGAGTCTGCGTAGCATATAAAAGAGTGGAATCTAAAAAAGTACATTTACTTTTGGGAATGCTATAATGTTTTGGCTGAACTATACTTTAGGAATAATTTTGTGAACCCTATGTAAAGTTAGTTTCCCCGATTTACTATTCCTTTTCCTTGTTCTTCACAAATGCAGGCTTCTATGTTTGCAAACCCTCCCCAATACCAGCGTTTTGGTTTTTCTGATTCCCTTTTGTGCAACACCACCCAATGGTTTTCCTCTGTTTATTTCTTCCTTTTAGACAATATGTCTCCCCATTGACCCAAAAAAACAATATTATTTGTTGCTTAACATCTGAAAGTTTTACTTGCTCTAATTAGTAAGTAGAAAGAATCCAATAAAAAGCTTGAAAATTTTTAGTAAGTAACTCAATTTTATTAAAATTTTATAAAAAATAAAATTATTAGTAGTTCATTATTACATTATTTTAATAAATATTTAAATTATGTTAAATTTGATAAATATAATAAAAAATATATAAAATAATTTAATAGTTAAATAAAAATTATATTTAATTAAAATTATTAAATAGTATAAATATTTTAGTTTGAAACATCCGTCTGATGTTCTTAATGAAAACAGTCTTGTGTCCACAAATTCATTTTGTTGCATGTAAAATCATATAATTTTTACATATTTATCATTATAGGAGTTTTTTGTATAATTTGGCTGATCTAATTCTAGAGTTGTTGGGAACAAATTGAAGGATTTTATACTATTATATATATATATATATATATATATATATATATATATAGAGAGAGAGAGAGAGAGAGAGAGAGAGAGAGAGAGACTATTTTAGTAAGTGTTAAAAATAATGAAAACTAAAATAGTAGTTTCTTCATTTGAATTTGATAGTGTAAATTTATACATTGCCAATCAAATTCAAGAACACTGAGCAGTTATAATTTTTTTTTCCAAGGATTTTGCATAATTAAAATGACTTTGATATTACTTATTAGAAATATCTAAAAGGAGAAACTATGGTAACAATAATGGCATTTTTTATTGGCAATTTTTGAAAAAGATAATAAAATCTTTTCTAAGAAGTACAAAAAAGGGTGATTTTAATAATTTTTTATTTTAATTTATTTTTTAAAATTTTTAAAAAATCACTAAGAGCAAAATTTTAATATCATCTTTTGAAATTTTACATCTATATCAATTCGTCATTATCGATTTTTAAATTTTATTTTTTAGTATATATTTCTTTTAAAAGCTATATAATAATAATAATAATAATAATACAAAAAATTCTTTATGTCAAATTATAAAATAGAAATAAAAAGACTAGAGCAAATGACTTAAAGATGTTAGGGGAAAAAAAAAGTATTCAGTTATTTATACTTTCTTATTCCTTCTTGAATACTAGATGTCAAGAAAGAATAAGAGTATGCATACGACTTAAAGATTATAAATCTTTATGTGATATTATTCATAAATCCTTATTTCTTTCTATAAAGGATAACGGCTATAAAACTTTTTATTATTTTTATTTATTAAAATAAAAAATTATAGTATATTATATATTTAATTTACACCTATAAGATTACTTAGTTAAGATACCCAAAAAAAAAAAAAGACAACCGATTTTTATGTTTTTGACAAATCAATTTAAGACATTATTGAAAAAGATATCAATTAGGAGTTTACTAAAATAGATAAAAACAAATTCATTGTCATTTCTAGAATTTGATTTATTTGAATAGACAATTCTAGAGAAAATAGTTTTAAAAAACAATTTTAACATAATATTATATTATTTTGAAAACAAAACCTCAAAATAAATAAACCAAGCATTCCCTATCTTGATGTTATATCAAAACTTTTGTCTGCTCTCCTATTAGCTGGCCATGTCTTATCTTTATCTATATCTTTAAAAAGTTTATTTGTTCATTTTTTATACAAATAAATAATTAGTTTATTTTATTAAAATAATTATTATATTTCATACCTTTATAGTGTATTTTAAAAATACTTATATTTAATAAATGATTAAAGTGTTAACTCATACATTAAATAAATAAACATATCTATTAATATATACCATAAATCTTTAAGTTTCACATTATTATAATTACAAAAATGGGTTATATAATTCATAAGTCAATTTAGTTTAATACAAGTTATGAGCGAGATGAGTTAAAGAAAGTTGACTTTAAGTATTATAGATTAATTTTAACATGACTCGCTAAATTTGTGATGAGTTCTGTTGTAAGTATCAACTTGTAAATTAATTTTTTAAATTTTGTAGTTTTTAAAATTGTTTAGTGATCATAATATTTTTTATGATATAGTTTTAAAAATATTTTTTGAATATTTTTATTTTTTTAATATTTCTGTAGACTTTTATAAAATACATTTTTATTTTGTAGAATATTATGGAATAGAGGAAAATTAGAGATATTTGTAAAATCATGCAGAGGCTAGCAAATTAGAGTTATATATCAAATAACTATTATATTTTTTACATTCACTTTTTTAAAATATGTTTAAAATTTTGATTAAGCAGTTCAGAAATAATGTTGATTATTCCATCACAAATATTTTTGACTGTTAATTCACGATATTCCAATGCATTGCTAGATTTGACAATTGGAGAAAAGAGTTACTCTCAAATGTAATGTGCCAAAATTAACAGTGACCTATGATTTTGTGTGCCCCAAATAGTGACAAATATTATAAGTGTATTAATATCTTTTAAATTTCTAAGAGTTAAGGTTAATAAAATTTATATTTTTTCAATTTTAAAAATTTACCGGAAGCTTTATTTGGTGACAAATATTTCTAATAGTTTTCATTTTACAATTTATAAAATACTTATATCATTATTTTACCATTTTATGTTTAAAAATTAATTTATATTTATAGTTTTAAAAATCCCCTTGCATCTCACGGGTTTGATAAACAAACTATAAATCGGATCTGAGAAGAGCTTTACGACTGAATGGCACGTATCTCCATGGATATATCATTTCTAAGTTAGAAAAACGAAAACAAATCGGATTCTGAATTCTCTGATAAATTATTTATTTATTTATTTAGAATAATTTATGTAAACTTAAACAATAATAATAATAATTTAATAAAAAAATGTAATGTGTTGTCAATTTAAAAATTTCTATGTTATCAACCAATTAAAATTAACAACTTTTCTATGTACTCTACGAGTATTAATAAAATAAAAAACAATTAACTAATTAAAAATATTGTATGATTATTATAAAATTAAATAAATTCTAAATTTTTTTAAAAGATTGAATCTTGTAATTTTTAAAAATAAATATTTTATTTTATAAATAAATTTAAATAAAGAGAAATATTTTAAATTAAAAAATTCAAAATTTAAATAAACTTTAATGTAAATATATTGCTTTTTTATGATGAGAAAGAGAACTAACTCTTAACAATATTATGTAACTTTTAAATTAATTATTATAAATTCAATATATTATTTTTATATATAAATTCATAATTAAATAATAATGTACAACATATTTAAATTATTATTATGTTTTAATTGAATTCTATCTACTCAACAATATTATAGAGATCATAAAATTAATTTAATTCATAATGACCAAACTTAAATAATATACTTCAGTCACGTTTAACAAAAAGTAAACATGATTCAGGATACTTCAAGTTTAATTTAAAATAATTCGAAGGCAAACTATTATAAAAAGTAATTATAAAATAAATGTGCAGTTTGGTTTAGATTGGTTTTAAAATACAATAAAAATTGAATCAATCGAGGTTGATATTTTATGGTTAAATTGAATTAGTTATTTTAATTTTTATCATACAGGATCATATTTTAATTAATTGTTAGTAAATAATAAAATTTTACTAACTAGAGTATACGTAGAGGTTTAAATTAATAAATAAATTTTTAGTGACTAATTTTTTATTTAAAAGATAATATTTATTTGATAAAATTTAAATATTAAAAGTAGTAAATTTCATTATAAATAACAACTTAATCTAAATTACCAAATACAAGTTAAAATAGTTCCATATTTTGATATAAAAAAAATACGGATATATTAAAAACAGCGCATTTACCTCTTTTTATTTACGTAAAAAATTAATTATCATTTATCTGTTTAAAAAATTTAAAATAATATTAATTGACATTTTTGTTTATTAAAAATGTTAACTTTAGTTTTTAAGTTTAAATTTAAGTACTTAAGAATATTACGTGTTATTAATAAAAGAGATGCTTGTTATATTTTATTACTTTAACGTGATAAATGATTTCTTTTAAATATATTTTTTAATTATTTAAATACAACTTTAAGAGTTAAAATCAATCAAATTCAACATTTATATTCAATTTGAGTAATTTTAAGTTGAAAGAACTCATTAACAAATTATAAATTAATAAATTTCACAATTAATTCTTACAAAAGAATATATTTTTTTTATATCTCTTCTCTTCAAACAGATAAATAAAGATAACAATAGTCTATTATATTTGCAATTCGATTTTGAAAATATTGAAACCAAATGGAAGCAGACAACATAAGAAATTATATATTTTTCATTAAATGATTAATTCAATTTTTGCTTCTTTATTTTTAATCAATGAAGCTGTTTAGAATTGTCCGTATATATTAAACTATCACTATTTTATATATTCATTATTCATTATTCCTTATCTCTTTCTTTTATTTATTTTTCTATGACATCATTTATTATATTTTTTATTTTCTTTCTCTTCTTTTCTCTCTCTCTTTCTCCTCCTCCACCGATTTAACACCCAACCTTTGAACGTTAAGTGCGAACCAATCATTTTTCTTAAACTATTACTCAGTATATTATTTGACAATCTGAGCTAAGAGTACTGCAACTTTTCATGTCCATAGCTGAAATGGAAAGAAGGGTTGCAATTGTTGGAGCAGGAATCAGTGGCCTTCTGGCCTGCAGATACGTTCTAGAAATGGGTTTTAATCCAATTGTCTTTGACATTGAGGATGGCATAGGAGGACTATGGCGACACACTACAAAATCTACCAAACTCCAAAACCACAAACTAGCCTTCCAGTTTTCAGATTTTCCATGGCCTTCCTCAGTGAAAGAAGACATCCCAAATAGCCAGCAAGTGCTAGATTATCTTAACTCCTATGCTCAACATTTTTCTCTCACACATTACATCAGATTCAACTCCAAAGTCACTGATATAGATTATGTGGGTGAATCTAACGAAGAAATTAACTCATGGGAATTATGGGGTGGTAATGGCAGACCCTTTGGCTCTAAGGGAACTTGGCATGTTACTGTGCAAGACACCAAGACTTTCTCCACAGGGGTACGTACATATATTGTTTCTTAAAAAATGATAAGCTAATTAAACACCCAATTTTACGGTGCGGAATGGGTAGAATAAGAGAGAGATAAAAAAAACTTTAAAAAGTTTAATAAATGATGTGTTTAAAAAAATGAACCTAGAAATATAAGTCTTGCAGTTTCTTTAATTACCTTCAATTTGGCCAGATTTTACTTCATAATATGAGCAAGTTTACCTTTTGTTTATGCTCTAAAGTAGTACATACTGTATAGTGACAAATTTATATGAGCAGGTGCACAAGGTTGAGTTTGTTGTTCTTTGCATTGGGAAATATAGTGGCTTTCCAAACATTCCTGAGTTTCCAGCCGGACAAGGCCCAGAAGCTTTTAAAGGGAAGGTTATGCACTCCATGGATTACTCTATGTTGGACAACGAAAGTGCAGCTGAATTGATCAAAGGAAAGAGAGTTACTGTAGTGGGATCACAGAAATCTGGTCTTGACATAGCGGCCGAGTGTGCAGATGTAAATGGTGAGAACTCTCACAGTTAAAGTGGATGCTTAATTTCAGAAATATACTTTTTGTTTTTAATCATAAACTTGTTATCTTATTTTATTTTAATCTTTAATATTCACATGAAAAATAGTGAAAGTAGAAATAATAATAATTTTATTATTTCTTGTATAGATATTTTAAAATAGAAAATGAATAACAGATTAATACTAAAGATATACAATAAAAACTGATAATATTTTGTGAACTTCTAATTTATTCAAATTTTTTTATCACAGTATCATTTAGAAGAGTTTATGAAATTTATTTTTATTAATTCTTTTAAACATATTTCAAAAAATTTACAGTTAAATATTTGATATAAACTCTCGTATAATATAAATGATTAATTAAACTGTATTTTTGAAAGTATTATAAATTTGAAGCCTTTCCCTTTCAAATCATCAAACACTTTTGCAGGAATGACACATCCCTGCACTATCCTCCAAAGGACTGCGCACTGGTATTTTCCAGATTTGAACAAATGGGGCATTTTTGTTGGATTCTTCTACCTTAATCGTTTCTCGGAGCTTCTGGTTCACAAGCCAGGAGAATCCCTCCTCCTTAGCCTTGTGGCCACTTTCCTTTCACCCATGGTAACATCATTCAAATTTTGTAGTGTCCACCTGTTTTTTTTTGTTTTTTTTTTGTCTCGTTTTCTTTCTTCACTAAAGTAACGGTATCTGGTAAAATTATTAATTATATTAATATTATTATCATGAAAAAATAAATTTTACTGACAAAAGCATCTTTGTGAAAAGAATTTTATAATATTTTAAATGAAAATTATTTAAAAGTTTAGATAATATATCAGTAAATGAGGGTATATTGGATAACATAAATTGAAAGGGATTTAGCATATATTTTCTGTTCATTTAAAAGCGAAGAAAAGTATAAACTATATTGCATGAATACTGTGGATACCGTTAGTATGGAGACGATATGATGATACATAGACACGAGTATGCAAATTTATATTAAGTAAAATATATTTTTAATTCTATGAATCACTTATAATTTATTAACTTATTAATTTATTTTCTAATATTTTAACATAGTTACATTTATATTGATTAATCGTCTTTTATTATATTATCACTGTTCTCTAACCTCTTAAAAGTTTATTAATTAAAAAGGAATAATTACAGTCAATTTATTTTTATCATCCAAATATACATATTAAATTTTTAAAAGAGAAATGCAATCAAACTTTCACATAAGTCATTTATATATAGTATGCCTTAATTTTGAACTATCAGAGATGGGGAATATCTAAACTTGCTGAAACCGCCCTAAAATGGACGCTGCCATTGAAGAAGTATGGATTGGTACCCAAACAGAGCTTTCTTCAAGACGTCTCCTCATGTCAGATTGGGGTGTTTCCTGATGACTTTTTTGATAAGCTGAAAGAAGGATCCATCCTTATAAAGAAATCACAAAGCTTTAGCTTCTGCAAAAAAGGTGTAATCATTGATGAAGCAGCTAAGCGCCTTGAAACAGATGTTGTAATCCTTGCCACAGGATACAAAGGTGACCAAAAGCTCAAAACCATATTCAAATCCCCAATTTTCCAAAATCACATCCTTGGGTTAAGGTCAACAGTTCCCCTCTATAGGTCAGTCTAGCGTTTTGGTCCATATTTTAAATTTCTTGCATAGCATGCTATTTATTATCATAACAATAACTAGAATGTGTTGCATCACTTCAGACAGATCATTCCCCCTCGGATCCCGCAACTAGCAATCATAGGATACGACGAGGGCCTATCAAATATTTTTAGCTCGGAAATGAAATGCCAATGGCTGGCAGTGTTTTTGGATGGGAACATTGAGCTGCCAAGTATAAGAGAGATGGAAAAGGATGTGAAATTGTGGGAAGACAGTATGAAACAATATGCTGGAAGATATTATTTCAAATCGTGCATTGCTAATTGTAGCATCTGGTATCACGATCACTTGTGCAAAGACATGAAACGTAACCCTAGAAGGAAAAAAGCCCTTTTCGCGGAGCTTTTTGAACCATATGGGCCAACTGATTACGCGGGTCTTACACGTAAACGAGTATTTGAAGGGATATAATTCATTAAAATCTATGATTTGATGTTGATTCTTTGTTTCATTGGGCTCGGGTAAATTGGAGGCCCCTGAGGTTATGTGTTTTTTAAAATTGCAAATTACATAAATTCTTGTTGCTGGGTATATAGGTGTCCATGGGCCGGTTTATTTTGGGTTTGGAAGAAAAAAATCACCCAAACCAATCAAAAGAATTTGTGAAAAAAATTTAAAAATCCAAACTAATCCAAATCAGATATCAACGAATTGGCTCTATCCAATTAAATAACTTAAAATAAAAAAAATTTAAAAAATAATTTTTTTTTCATTCGAATAATTCTTAATAAATAATTTTAACATAATTACACAACATTCCAATACAAATTCAAAATAAGTCTCAATTTAAAACAAAAAAATTAAGTTCAAAATAAGTGTAAGAAACCTCTAAAATTAAAATAATTCAAACACTATAATAATATAAATATTTATTCTTTATTTTTTTATCTTCATTTCTTTATCTACTCTTGACTCTTCACCACTCTACAATAATATAAACACTTAGTTAGCATATAGTAACTAATTAAAGAAATATTAGAATTCATCAAGTAATTATATATCTAAATATAACTTTGAACTTGAACGTTTGTAGATGCTTCAGGCTTAAGTATTTTTAAAGCCAAAATAATTTAAACACAAACATAAAAAGAGAAAAAAATTAGTTCAAAATGAAATAAATATAGAACGTTGAAGATATAGATTAAAAAATTAACAAGTTTAGTACTTTCTCCAAGCATCAAAAGTTGATCCATTTCAATCCGTAAATCAACTTTCTTGCTAGCTTTTATCCAATTTTGGGTACAAATCAAAGCTTCAACAATTGTGAGATTTAAATAACTATGAAATAGGTTAAGAGTTTGACCTCCTGTGTTAAATGTTGACTCAGAGGATACAATAGACACTGGAATAGCCAATATATCTCTAGCCATATGAGAAAGAACATAATATTTTATTGAGGACTTCGATTTCCACCATTGCAAAATATCAAATCTGGGAGCATTGTTTTCAACATCATCCTCCAAGTACCTCTCTATCTCATTCATTTTCACTTGACCTTGCTTCTTTTTTTTGTTTCACATTCATTCTAAATTCATCCTCCCATGCATCATCATCATCATTATCATCATTGCCAATATTAAGATTAAACTGAGAGGCAACACTACTAGATTCATCAATAGGATACTACGCCATATAAAGTTCAACCAATTTATTGATGAGGTCCGTCAAGTTTTTTTTATCAATTCATTACATTTTGCACAATACATCCGCTTAAAACAAAACTTAAGGTACTCAAGCTTATAGCGAAGAACAAGAAAAACAACCACAAATAAGAGATAATTTATAATGTCACTCTCCCAATATTTGCTAAACTTGACTTGTACATTTTGTCATCCTTTGTAATACAATATCATTACTTTGCCTTCACTTATTCAATGTTTTTTGAATATCTTTCAACTTATGGAAGAAAGCATTAGATGTAACATGCAATAATCCAGAAAAGGAAAGAATTACATCAAAGAAAATTTTTAGAAACTTCACAAACATGCATGCACGAGTCCAATCATCACTATTAGGACACCTCCCTTCACTCTCAATATTTATTAAATAGGCAGGATCATCATACTCTAGTTGACTAAATGCTTTCTCATATTTTTCAGCAACTTCTAAGCGAAATAGCCAACCAACAATTAATAATGCTTGACTAGGTATATTTGCCTCTTGAGCACACCTTTTAAAGTAGCCAATCTAAGCGAAGATCCCTTAATAAACTTACATGCAACTCTAATTCTAGCAATTGAAATATCAATTTCTTTCAAACCATTACCAATAATTAAGTTCAAAATATGGGCACTACATCTCATATGCATGTACTCTCCATTTAATAAAGTTCTATCATTCTAATCACTCATGCCCCTATATAAATATGAAATAGCCAAGTTGGTAGCACTTGTATTATCAACAGTTACACAACAAATCTTTGAAATCCTCCAATCTTTCAAGTATTTCTCTAGGTGTTTACCTATGGTGTCACCTTTATGGTCAGTAATCAACCCAAAGCTCAATATCTTTTTGTTCAATTCCCATCCAGTATCAATATAATGAGCAGTCATACAAATATAATTCATGTTTTGAATTGAAGTCCAACAACCAGTCATAAGTGAAACCATTTGGTCATTCTTAGCCAATAAAGCTTTCAACTTCTTCTTTTCTGATTCAAACATTAGCATGCAATCTCTAGCAATAGTTTGACAAGAAGGAATTTTGAATCCCGATTGAGCCTCAAGCATAAATTCTCTAAATCCGTGACTCTTAACAAACTTACAAGGTTGCTCATCCATAATTATCATCCTAGCAAGTGCTACCCAAGTTCGATCTTTATTAAAATCAACAAGTTTAAAAGTAATAGTAGAGGCATCTTCACTCTCCTTTTCAAGTGCAAGTATTTTTTGTCTCTTATCAACTATCCTATTTGGATTTTTCGGACAAAACAAAACATGCTTATTCAAGTTCCATGGGTAGAACTAGTAGATGCATATAACTTTTGGCAATAATTACAAATGGCCTTATCATTTTGTCTAGTGAAATGTGCCCAAGCATTGGATGGCGGTCTACTAGGTTTTCTTTTCAATACCTCAGGTCCTTGTGTTTGCATGGAAGCCTCATGTTGTGTAGGAGTCCCTTGTCCTTGTGATGAAGCTTCTTGCAACAATGGAGTCTTTAGACCACCTTGCTGTAGTTCCATGCCACTAGAATTAGTTGGGGCACTCTTAACAACTTCATTGTTATTTGCCATTTGTGGGCTGCAAAACCATAAGCATAAACAGAGAAAAATTGAAAATAAAAAAAGCAGAGAAAAAATTGCACATACACTTACCTCGATTTAGATATAAGATGCAGAAGTGAGAGAAATGCAAGTTGAATTGTAAAGGAACAACACAACTAATTAACGGCCGGTCGTCCTCCAGGGTTAGTTTTGATCAATGATGGTGGCAGTCTAAAAGCCATGATGTGGATCTGGTGGAGAAAGAAGGGATAAACCACATTATTGCAGAGTAGCAAATGTCGTGTAGGTTAGTAAGATACAAAGAGAATACGAAATTTAGAGATTTTATGAATTGGAAAGGGAAAAAGGGATGAATGAGTTTGTGAGAGAACTGAAAAAATGGTTTAATGGAGGAATCAATGGTAGAGATTGGAGAAGCCCAAGTTGTCTACAGGTTTGGAAGGGACAATGGAGGATTACCGTAACATGTACTTAATATTATATTAATTTTACTGTGGCATAATCCATGGATCCAATGTTTGCAAGTTTTTCCAAAAGAAAACAAACAAATATAATGTAAAAATATAGGAGTAGGACACAGATGAAGGGGCAAAGATATTTTGAGAGATTTGAATTTGATAATGAGTAAAAAGATGATGGGTGCTTGTTTCATTGCCTCACACTTCACTGCTTCAAACTAGACCTGCGTGTCTTGTCAAGTATCGGCCTCAAGCATCGACTATGTGGGTCACGTGATTTACTACTAAGTAGTATTCATCAGTTAATTGAGTATATGTTTGAATGATCAAGTTGACACAGTGTCACCCGTTATCCGAATCAAACCACTTTGAGTTTGATCAGTTTGAATCGAATCAGACCCGTTAAATATTGGTTTGGATCGTTCTTCGATTTGTATTATCAGGTTCGTTGGTTTACCCGATTCGATGGACACCTCTAGCTGGGAGTAATCTCGTCATTTTCAATAAATAGAACATATGTATGTTTGATGAAATTGAACCAAAATTAGAAAGCCTATTATTTGTATTAGATTAAAGTGTTAATATAGCAACTATTAATTCTTCAAATATGGAATGGACTTGACAAGAAATTCTATTGTTTTAGACTTTAAGGCTTAAAGTTTAGAAGAAGAAGAAAAGAGGTTTGAAAGGTAAAAAAAGAAGGTTAATCTAAAATTTGTAAATTATAAAAAACTTAAAAACATGTTATTAGAAGGATTTTTAGGATCTCAACATAGTTAAATATAAACAAAACTTTTCTCCTTTCCTTCTCCCACATAAGCCATGTATAAAGAGTATTTTTTTTCACACAAAAATTAGAGCCAAAAGGACCACCTTAAGTAAAAAGAAATGAATATGTGACAAAAATGAAAAGTGATAATAACATGAATTGTTGGGTAATTCTAATATCCTCTCTTTTTTTGTAAAAAGGATATATATCTTTTTAAAAAGCGTTAAAACATTGTGAATCATTGATAAAAATTCAATGGTCCAAAATGGAAGAGAGGTAACCAATCATATAAGTTACATTATAAAAGGAGAAATTGGTAATTTAATGTAAACATTCGTATTTGTGCTATGTTGAATTCTAACTTTTGTTATTTTGTACCCATTTGTTCAGTGTGTATTGTAGACTCCACCGGCCACTACGCAATTAAGCACCATAAAGCATTTAAAATGTGCAAAATTGTTGTCTTTAAAAATATTACAATAAGTTATAATTTTGGTATACAATTTTTTATGAATGGGTGTGGAGAGTTTATGGGTTGCATTATCTGAAATTAAAAAGGTCCTTTATGCAAGTCTATTTCATATTAGGGATGAATAAAATAAAGTTAAAGAGAAAAATAACATGGAGTTCTGAAGATTCAATGTAGAATGTAGGGATATTTTTATGGGTCGTATACTATGTACATCGGTTAGATTAAACATTTGATGTAGATTGTAATATTTTGAAAGAAATAATTTTGAACATCAATTAAGCAAAAATGCAGTACAAATAGTGGCGAAGTATTTAGGAAAGCCTTTATAGGTCATATACTATGTATATCAGTTAGAATAAAAATTTGATGTAGACTGTAATGTTTTGGAAGAAATAAGTTGCAATATCGGTCCTGTAGAAAGTCAATGAGTATAGTGGCAAAGTATTTTAAAAATAGTCAATTGTATATTGTACATCTGGTGGAGGTGAAGACTGATGTGAAAAAAAAGTAATGTTTCAACTGCAACAATCAAGGCAGATGTCCATCAAACCGATTTTGATAATGAAGGACATCAATGTAATTTCATACAAAGTTGCTATAGTGGATTTAGATTTATTTGTTTTATGTTTAATATGAGCATGATGTTTCAGCTAACAGACAGTTCAAAGAAATTGCCCACAATCGTCCACCTTCCTTGACAGTTATTGCACGTTGTGTAGAAAAAGCACAAGGAAGAATATTGAATGTGGTTATTTGCAGTTGAAGAATAACAATATAATATTTTGTGTTGTTTATTAGATTGTCGTAAATTAGGATGTAGTTCGAAGGACATTACTGAAAAATGCATGTGTGAGAATATTTCAAAGACATTGGCATTTACATAGGAATTTGTACTCTTCATCGTTCAAGTACAATATTCATTTTGTGTATGCATTAGTTTTAATATGCATGGATTGATTATTATCGATGGTAGAGACACGTATAGTTATATTGTTAATATCAACATTTGTAAATTGAATGAACAACTCAAATTATTGAATGTTGGGTTGTAGTTAACAAACCTAATAAAACAAAACAATAAAATGTAAATCCTTATGGAAGTTAAAATCTTGTGAACTCGAATGAAAGGTTATGGTCATATATAATATAAAAAATTTTCATTCCACGTGCCATGTAGTGTATATTAAAAATATATATTTGGATAGCATATGTAAAATGGTTGTATACTGTGCAATAGTACAAAATGTAATGAGTTGTGTTTTTAGTCTCCATCAATAACGGGGTGGTTGTATGACTACAATGAAATTAGTTGTGTAGGTCACAAACGTGAAAATAATAAAAATTGGATAGTTTTTATAACGATTCGATAGTTAAAAGATGTTAAATCGTGGACAGAGTATAACAAATGTGTTACAGACATTTACATCAGTTTTTTGCTCAACTGAGACCAACAATCAGGGACCTTTAATAATTAAGTCATAAGCATATTTGCATTGGTTGTTTGGTGAATTAATAATTAAGTTATAAGCATATTTGCATTGGTTGTGTGATGAAATGATGTCATAAGATGCACACCCTTTACAATTTACTGTTGCATTAGATTTGTATCGGTTGTGTGCTGAACTGATATCATAAAACAACAACTTTTTACATATTGAGCATACAGTGTATTTGCATTAGTTGTGTGCTAAAGTGATGTTATAAAATGGTCACCTTTTATAATTAGCTCATAAACATATCTATATCAAATATTAATGCCCTTTCAGAATAAAATTTTAGTTTTACGTTATTATCTCCTTTCATCTGCCTCACTCATAATTTCTCTCTGTATTTGTTAACCTTTTTAAACTTTAATCTTAACTATCTATTTTTCAACTACTATGATCAACTGCTCAGTTTCAATTTTAAATTGTTTATGTAAAAATAATGCTTTCAAACTAACACATTTTTTATAAAAGAAGGAAAGATATTAGAATTACCTTAAATTGTTAACGATTTTATTCATAACCATAAAAAGAGGGATTCAAAAAATGAATATAAAGAGAAATGTAGAAAGAAGACAAACATTTTTTGCAGTTTTAACAATGAACTGCTGAGAGTAGTAAGGGAAGCTTTTTCTTTACAGTTCAAAAGTATACACAACGACAAACAAAAGCCTAACTCTTTCTCTGGTTTCTTCTCACCACTGACGATTGTCCCAGCTCACTTTTCTTTGTGGTTCCTCTAATCAACAGCAAAATTTTTGTTGCTTTCCTTTACTTACAGCCTTGTGGCATGTCACTCTCACTCTCAATTTTCAGTAGCCTCGCTGCATGCACATGTACATATGCAGTACCACTGTCACTATACCACACCACGCTTGGTTTGACACTCATTCTCGTTACCCTCTCAAGGATTTGGGTCTCCATATCTCTTGTTCTCTCGTTCCTTACTCCAACGTAAGTGCTTCATATTTTGGGTGTTCTTCGTCTTCCTCATTCACGTTGCTTACTCTAGTTAGGTAAGATGGAATACGGTTTCTCACTTTTTAGTTTTGCAATTTGGTTCTTCGTCTCTCAAATGCATTTTGGTTTTGTGATTGTCTGGGTCCAGCAGTTGTATGTCTACAAACGCAAATGTCCAGCAGTTGTATTTTTTGTCTGTATCACAATTGTTTGTGGTTTAAACTAGGAAAAAGTATTGTGTGGAACCTCAAAGAAAGATAACTTTTGGTGTAGTCAACCAACCAAGAAAATCATGGATCAAGAAACAAACAAGTAGCATATAGTAAAAGAGATTATTTAAGACTTAAGACTTTAACTATTAAAACTAACAAAGAGTTCATGAGATTATAAATTATAATAAAAAAATATAAAATAAGACGAAAGAGAAGTAAAAGATCAATGAAACAAACAAACACACAAAAAAATAAATTATGAATGGGCTAGTGGCTTTAGTGTCACTTATGAACTTTTTATATTTTTCTCGTTTATCTTTTCATGAATTAATTTTTACTTATATGACTAATCACTCGTTCAAATTATACTATTATTCCATAATTATGTAACAATAGTATATATATTTTTCATTTAATAATATTTCTTACGATCATGCAAAATAATTAATAAAAAAAACGTGAAAATATCACAAGTTGTTTTTCACTTAATAACAAATTAAAAATATAAAATTTTGATTGATCTTCTAAATTTTGAAATTTTATTTATTTCATAGATATGTTAACTAAATAATGATGATAAAATCGTCTTTTATCTAATTAACTATATTGAAGAATGAAAAATAATCCTTACAAACACTCAACCTAAATTTTTTACTAGCATAGTTATAAGTTAACCCAATTAAGGATAGATTTCTTGAAATCTAATTTTCACCGTACGTTACTCTTCTCGCTACTCTCAAAGTGTGCGAGGATAGAAGAATAACTTGCTTGTGCTTCTTTAAAGAATGTGTAATATCATTATATATCTTGATAATACCCAATTAAGATCTTGTTTTCTTAATATTGAACAGGTTAAATAGAATATAAGTCTTTTACCTTGATCTTTTCAACGATAAAAGTATAGGAAACTTTAGTCACCATTGGAGGTATTAGGCTAATATCATGAGCCGTGGAAAAGCAGTATATCAACACTTGATGAAGAACAAGACTTTTGGATTCTGTTTATTTATATTTTGACCAGAGAACAGCCGCAAAACAGGCTTGTAATATTACTATTTAAATCTTAGAATGAAAAACATATTTTTATATTTAAAACGTAACTTCTAAATTGTTCCGTTCATTGAACGACTTGAATAAACTGATCAAAACTATGTAAAAAACTAATAATGATATTTGTACATTTCAAATTATCTTTGCCTTTCTGTACTTGTGTATCTCTTACTGTCACGCCACTTCTTACCTTTTTCACTTTTCCTTTTTCAATTAAGTGGTATAATCGTCGTTGTCCATAACAAAATGACACACGTCTCTGCAGAGAACATATCTAAAATTTTGAATTTTCAGAAACGATATCAGTCTACAAGACAAATCTTATTTTATTATTAATTTGGTTCTAATGCATTTGTTTGAAAATACAACGGCCCTCAATCTTTCACCATTGGATCAAAGAATTGCTAGCAATTGTTGTCTCCAAAGCTGAAATGGAAAGAAGGGTTGCAATTATCGGGGCAGGAACCAGTGGCCTAATTGCCTGCAAATACGTTCTAGAGATGGGTTTCAATCCAATTGTTTTTGAAGTTGAGGAAGGAGTAGGAGGACAATGGAGACATACTATGGAGTCCACCAAGCTCCAAAACAACAAACAAACGTACCACTTTTCAGATTTTCCATGGCCTTCTTCAGTAAAAGAAGACAATCCAAGTAGCAAGCAAGTGCTAGAATATCTCAACTCTTATGCTGAACATTTTTCCATCATTCCATACATTAGATTCAACTCCAAAGTCATTGATATAGACTATGTTGGTGAGTCTAACGAAGAAATGAAGTCATGGGAATTATGGGGTGGTACAGGTAGGCCATTTTGCTCTAAGGGAACTTGGCATATTGCTGTGCAAGATACCAAGAATTTCTCCATGCAAGTATGTATTTATAGTTTCTTTTTTTACTTTGGTCAGCTTTCATTTAATAATACCAAGAACTTGGCATGTATTTATGTGTGTGTGAGTGCACGGACCAATGTTTGCATAAATTTTAAACTTTATAGTGGCAATATGTATACTATATACACCAAATTGAACATTTATATGAGCAGGTGCACAAGGCTGAGTTTGTTATTCTTTGCATTGGGAAATATAGTGGCTTTCCTAACATTCCTGAGTTCCCACCGGGACAAGGCCCAGCAGTTTTCAAAGGGAAAGTAATGCATTCCATGGACTACTCTGCTTTGGAGAATGAGGCTGCTGCTGAATTGATCAAAAGAAAGAGAGTTACAATCATAGGCTCACAGAAATCTGCTCTTGATGTAGCAGCTGAATGTGCAAATGCAAACGGTGAGAATTTTTTCGTTCAAAGTTTCCTTCACAAAATTATGAGTTTCCTTCCCTTGTGCCATTCCTTTATTTTTCAACTCATTGATAACTCTTGTAGGAGTCAAATATCCTTGCACAATCATCCAAAGGACCGCGCATTGGTTTCTTCCAGATATGAACTTTTGGGGTGTTATTGTTGGATTCTTATACCTTAATCGTTTTGCGGAGCTTTTGATTCACAAGCCTGGAGAACCCTTCTTACTTGGCCTTGTGGCAACTTTGCTTTCCCCATTGGTAACAAACACTAACAAATTGTCTCACATATATCTACAATATTGATACTGATAATAATAGTAAGTGTGAAGAAAACACCCTCACCAATATTATCAACTATTTGTCAAAATTTATTATAGTTCAATTAATAATAAGACTAGGATTTTTTTTTTTTATTAAATTTTATTAAATAATAAAGAATGTGTTGCAAATATTTTTTTATTTAAAAGTAAGGAAAATATTGTTCATATTTACTTTCACTCTAAACTTACAGAGATGGGGAATTTCTAAACTTGTTGAAACTGCTCTAAAATGGAAGCTACCACTGAAAAAGTATGGATTGGTACCTAATCACAGTTTTCTTCAAGATGTTTCGTCATGTCTGATTGCCGTGCTTCCTGATAATTTTTTTGACAAACTCGAAGAAGGATCCATTGTTATAAAGAAATCACAAAGCTTTAGCTTCTGCAGAGAAGGTGTAATGATTGATGGAGAAGCTAAACCCGTGGAAACAGATGTTGTGATTCTTGCCACAGGATACAAAGGTGATCAAAAACTCAAAAGCATATTCAAATCTCCAATCTTTCAAAATCACATCATTGGGTCAGCAAGCTCAACAGTTCCTCTCTACAGGTCAGTCATGGTTTGGTTTTGTCTATTTTACTTTCATAACATGTAATTTATCATCTGAAAAACTTAGTATATTGTTTTTCAATTAAAATTAAAGTTAATAACTATGATTTTATTAAGAGTGAAAATAATTTTGTGAAATAGAAAACAAACTCGATTACAGGATATAATCAAGTCAAGGACAAAAAAATACTGTCTCTTGCAGCACCGTGATTCAAGTTTTTATTAAACATATGATTTGATTATATGAAGATTCTAAAGTTATCTATGTTTTGCCAATTCAGACAAATAATTCACCCTCGGATCCCACAGTTGGCAATGATAGGATATGCTGAGAGCCTATCAAATATTTGTGGGTCGGAAATGAAATGCCAGTGGTTAGTGCATTTCTTGGATGGAAACATTGAGCTGCCAAGTATAAGAGATATGGAAAAGAATGTGAAATTGTGGGAAGACAATATGAAACAATATGGTGGAAGATATTACTGGAAATCATGCATTGCTAGTTGTGGAATTTGGTATCAGGATCAGTTGTGTAAAGACATGAAGCAGAACCCAAGAGTTTGAACCATATGGACCCTTTGATTACGTGGGTCTTAGGTAAATGAGAATTTTAAAGGATAATGCATAGAACTTCTTCAATTATATCTCTGTCTTTTACTCCCCACCATGTAGTGTTACTTGCACAGCTTGTTAATTTCTGTATTAGAGTCTGTTAAATTTATTTTAAAATATAAGTATGCGTTGATCTTACATCTGAATAGTTGTATTTATTCTTTTAATAATATGTTAATTAGTTTTATTAATTAAACATATAATAAATTGTTTTAAGAGAAATAACCTTTTTTTTAATTCTTCATCTAAATCTGCATTTTTTATAAGGAGTTATTCCTATAGTCATTATTGAGCTATGACAAAGCATTTATTAGGGTTCTTGAATGTTCATGGGTCATGGATCAAAATTTGTGGGCTCACCCTAATTCAAGAATTTATTAATTTTTAGTATTTAAAAATATATACCCTAAGGAAAATGTTTAACAGGATCGTTCTAGAATAGGAAACTCTACTTTATTAGAACACTTGCACTATTCCAAATTTTAATAAAAACAAAATCAGTATTTTTCAGAACAAAATCACAAAATAAACCAATTAATAAAGCAGAATAAGCAAAGAAAAGGAACACTAATATTTATACTGGTTAAAGAAAAAGAACGTTATTTTTTAGTATTTTTTCTCTATACAAGTAATAGATACATGCATATTATTTTTGATAATATAAACAATTACGAAAGAATTAAGTGTTTTTCGCGAACATAAGAACAAGACATTTAATATGTTTTTATATGTAAGATTGAATTAAAAAATAATTAAATAGAAGAAGTAAAAGAGTTAGGTTATGAAGGCACATGAAGTTACATTAAAAAAAGGAGTTGCACAGTGTATTAAATTAAAACAAAACATCAAAATATTTTGCAAAAGGTAAATTGTGTAAGTTTAAAGTAAGAAGTTATTAAAGAAAGATCACATTGTATAATAAATTTTGAGAGCTTATCAAATGATAAAAGTACATTAAGATTATTAAAAATTACTTAAAAAATTATGAGCAATAAATGCACTTCGCTATTTCTTTTAAATTATCTAGTAGATATAATCAAACAAATTATTCAAAAAAATTTATTCTAATTCAAATTTTAATCTCAAATTTAAATTCTAATAAATATTTATTTAAAAATTAATTTAATAAAATATGTATATTTATTATATAAATATATTACTTTATGAATATTTCACGACTATTTCTTATCTTTCTTTTTATTATCTCTCTCCATTTTTTTAAGCATTATTTATAATTATTGTTGTATTATTGATTGATTGTTAAGAAATTAATATTTACTTTAAAAAAATTATTTATGAAACAACTGGTATAAACTAATTCAAAAGGTGTGTTAAGAAAAGTAATTTTCCCTCTCCAAAAAAGGAAAAACCACAATCTCACACATTTTTAATTTTGATTTCTCTGATTTACTATTTTATTGTTATTTTTCTGGCTCACAAGTCAACAAGTTTCTGGAGGGAGTAGAAAGGAGAAAGCAGTGCTTGCCCTGTTTCTCTCCTCCATAACAATGGCCATGTCTACCGCTACCTCTCCCTTCCTTCGTCCTCTGCATCAAGTACAATTACTCAAATGCCCTCTCCTTTCTTCTAAATCCCAGTTTCGCCCTCGCTCCCAAACCCAAAGAACCATTCGTGCTAGCTCCGCAGTTGCTTTGGAACCGGTATAGTACACACCCTTTCCCCGTCCCTTCTATTCATTTTCTTTTTTCTTATTTAGCATAACAATGACACTTACCTTTTTAAATTGTCGCTGAGACTCGCAGGATCATTGTATAATAATAATAATAATAATAATTTTCATGCTCGCTTCATGCCATTAAGCTTACGAATATAATTGATTTTTTTTTCTATTATGATTATAATGAATTGTAGGGTTGGATGTTACACAGCCTTAAGACATTGTCACGCTTATAATGGATCATAGTAAAGTTTCTTCTTTTAAAATATATTTTGGCCGAATTTGTATGAACAGTGTGAGGAGCATTTTTTATATGTTGTCTGTTATTTCAATTGTAAAAGCTAAAGTTTGGTAATACCCTAAATTCAGCACAATTATATCTGCTTTTGCTAATATTAATTTGCATTAAGGCTATAGACAAACTTATGGGAGGATTTTTATTAATTTTTCCTTCAGGATTTATGTACACAGCAGGATCAAGCAAGAGAAGTGGATATCTTCGCTTGCCCAGTGTGTTATGAACCATTGATAAGAAAAGGTCCTTCTGGCCTTAACTTGTAAGTCAGCTAGATATGCATTACGGTGGGTTTCTTTAATTTTGTATGCGTCTAAAATAAAGTGTCATAGTAATTAACTAAATGGTTTCCAAACTACAGATCAGCAATCTACAGGTCTGGTTTCAAGTGTCAGAGATGTAAGAAGTCATACACTAGCAAAGACACGTATCTGGATCTGACTGTAACTGCTGGATTGAGAGATTACACTGAAATCCAACCAGCTCGGACTGAGCTTTTCAGGTATAAATAGTTTGGAGATAAAACTCCAATTTCATGGGATTAGATTGTTATGTGTTATAACCCCTTGATACCACATAATATATTCATGTCAGATATATGTACTTGATGAGCAATTGTTATCATATGTAGCACATACCAGTTTATCTACAATATCTTCTTATATATCCATCATTCCATTATTTGTTTATTAGAGAAGACTTTTTTACCTTTTCCACTTTTATATGAGTTATTGTTTCAACATGCGACACGAGTTGTAGTCAAATTCAGTTTTCTGCCTGCCCCATCATTTGGTAAAATTCTGAATGTTTTCCTTTGTGTCTAAACCTTTATTAGGAGTCCTCTTGTTTCATTCTTATATGAAAGAGGTTGGCGTCAGAATTTCAGGCAAAGTGGCTTTCCTGGTCCTGATGAAGAGGTATGCATCCACTGCCTGTACAGAAATTGATATATGAATACTTGAAAAATATTTTTCATGTTTCATGGTACTTGTCCAGAAAGTGGTGGTGGTGCAATGCGTATTAAGATCATTATGTTTTCTTTGTAATGCAGTTCAAAATGGCTCAAGAATTCTTTGAGCCTGCTAAAGGTGGACTTCTTGTTGATGTTAGCTGTGGTAGTGGTTTATTTTCCCGAAAATTCGCCAAATCTGGAGCCTATTCTGGAGTTGTTGCACTAGATTTTTCTGAAAATATGCTTCGCCAGTGTTTTGATTTCATTCAGAAAGATGGCACACTTTCAACCACGTATTCTTTTTCTTGTCCTATACTTGATTCTGAATTTACTGCAGCTATAGAATAAAAGATTCAGTGTTTTTCTGTTTGTACGAGGAGACATGGATGCCCTGAATTCGATTTCATTTCATTGTTTGCAGTAATATTGCTCTTGTAAGGGCAGATGTTTCTAGGCTTCCCTTCTCATCAGGTTCGGTTGATGCTGTTCATGCTGCTGCAGCTTTGCATTGCTGGCCATCTCCCTCTAATGCTGTAAGTGCTGTCTTTGTACTAGGAACAGCAGAATGTTTGGGTTGAGGAAACCGCTTTAAATGACTGGGGGCATTGTGTGTGGCCATGTCTATTAAATGCTTGAACCAGTCTTGGTACAAAACAAGTAGGCTATGTGCCTTCATTAACAATTCATGTCTCTGTAAGCTTAAGTACCATGTATAGTTTAGGTTGGTTATTGTAGCACTTTACTTCCTACATCCTGTTATACTGCATTTCTATTTCTTAATGTGTACAAATTTTTGTACAGTTACCGTGTGAGCTTCGAACTAATATATTTTATTCATATTCTTATGTTACAAATAAGTTTTAGCTTAAATATGCTTTTGATCTGTACAGTTTCATGAAATTTTAATTTTAGTCCCTCTAAATTTATTTGGTTTTAGTCACCAATTTTTCTAAATTTAACACTTTTCTCTAGTGATGATGTGACTAAGTAAGAGGTGGTTGTCACGTTTCAATTTTTTGTACCACTTGTCAATTTTTGTTGGGTCACTTTTGTTTGAGGGACCAAATGTATTGAGTTTAGGGAAATCAGGGACTAAAACTAAAAAAGAATATTTTGGACTAAAATTAAAATCTAGTGAAAATATAAAGATAAAAAACATGTTTAAGCCATAAGTTTTAATTGGTTCGTCTGAAGTAATAAAAAGATGTTTGTATTGATGCAGATGCACTGAAAAAAAAAAAGTTTTATTGGTCAATTAGTGCGTCTATTAGAAAGAATTGTTGTAGTCAAAGAAATCTGTTGTTACTGGTACTATATCTTCTGAATGAGAATTTAATTCTTGTGAGGATATGCAATGTATATTGCTTCATGACAAATAGTTTCTCGGCAATCTAAAGGTGATTGTGCTGAAGTTGTGTCAGTGCCCTACCTCAAATCTCTTATACTGTCCCCATAACCTCATTCTATTTATATTTGCCCTGAAATTATCAAATAATTCTTGGGATGTCATTTCCTTATATTATGGATTTCACATCTTTTATTATCAATGTGGTTGACTTTTACCTAATCCATATAATTTGCATGTTCTTCCACATATCTATCTCACACTATTTGAAATTTGTAATTTTCATAATGACACTCCCACTATAAACACTATAGGTTGCTGAAATCACCCGGATACTAAGAAGTGGTGGAATATTTGTTGGAAGCACTTTTCTGCGTTACAGTTCATTAACTCCCTGGTTTATGCGGCCTTTCAGAGAGGTAAACTCTGATCACAATTATCCTTAATCTTTTGTCGTTCTAATCTGAAGTGTCAACATTTTTCATGCTGAATGTTCATTGAGCATGCTACGACTTATCTATTGGAGTGACTACATGATAATCTCCTGGATTCATAATGTGATACCTGCTCTAAAATTTAATTAGTTTCCATTGAATCCCACCCAAATTGATTTAAAGATCAATTGATTTGTAGAGGACTCCACAAGGCTATGGCTATTTAACAGAGGAAGAGATCAAAGATCTTTGCACGTCATGTGGTCTTACCAATTACTCAAGCAAAATTCAGCAGGCTTTTATTATGATTACAGCTCAGAAGCCATAAAACTAGGTTTGATCCATTTATAGCATTGTTTCTGCTACTGAAATTTTATTAATTTCTTCCATATTTATTGTATTATTTGTTTCATCTGTAAAGAAATGTAAATAAACCAGAAATGAAAAGGTCAAAACCTGAGTTTCTTGTGAAGGTTCACAGGTTGTGAAATGCATCATATATCTCCAAATATATGTTTAGTAACAAGTTAAAAAACATGTAAATGTAGATTCATGGTAGAATTTTCAACTAGTAGCACCAAGATAAACGTGGACCTATGATTATTTAAACATGAGTCCAAACATGCCATAACAATATATACAAATTTTGACAAATTTTATAAGAAACATTATACTGTGTAAGTGCCAAAAGAGAAATTCGGATAGTAAGGGTCATGTTAAGGATGTGGAGGCAGAGTTGAGACAAATATGGCAATTACTTGTGACTTCTAAGCCTTCAGTGCTATCTTGAAATGTGATCATGTAACTCAACCGAACTATTTTTAACTGTTTCTCTTTAGTGGTGTTGTGACACATGATATGCTTTTATCAATTATTCTTGCGTGTTAGGTCTAAGCCCTCTGTTGTTGCGTTGACTCTTTGGTAAGGCAAGGAATATCATCACATCTGCACACATTTGTACTCGTTTATTTCTGACTTCAAGTCCTTCTTCTTAAACTTGGTCTAATTAACTTCAATGAAGCTTTGTTTTATACTTTACCACCGTTTTAATAATATTTAAATAAGTGAGCATACTAGTTCTTAAATATAAATTTAGTTTTGACGCACTATAAATATAAATATAAATAAAATTTTACAATTTCCATTTTATGAAAATCACTTTTCACATAAATATTTCCAATTTTTGTCTATATAAAAAAATTTCAATTCACTTTAAAAGAAGCTCCTAATTTAAAACAATTTTCATGAAAAAGGTCATATTTTTTTAAAAGAATTAAATTAATCCAAAATTAAATTTACTAATCTGGAATGGGTTAAAATGAGTAAATTATATTTATCTTCCTTTTTTCTCATATCTTTCTTTTTCTTTTCTATCACATCATATGTTATATCCTTTACTTCCCCCCACATTTTAGTGGTGTCAACATATAATTATACTTGAAACTTAAGGTTATTGAATATCGGATCCTTTTGCACATAAGGTCCTTAATCAATATAATACCATCCAACTTTTGTAGCAATGACAACAAGCAGAGTTATATAATACAATACATGTTTACATGTATTTTTAAAAAATATATACTCAAACACAAACAAATATATACTCATTCACATGCCTTTATGAATACTTGTACCTGAAAATAAACAGTGTTGTTTAACATTATAATTAATTAAAATATATAACAAATAAATATTTAACAAAATTTAAATATAATATAATAAGGTAATTAACTATAAAATATAACGTACATCCATTAAACTATATTCAAATCCAATACAACAAACTCAAAATAATTAATCTGACTTTCCAAATAAACTCTGTTCTATGCATGGACTAATAACAGGAGTCTTCAACTCGTGTTTTACGCATGCAAGTTTGCTTCTTTGATTTGGTCCTTTTTAACTTCAGATAGGCAAAGCAAAATTTTTACAGTTTCGCAGATTAGTCAAAGAAAAAGGACTTAGAGAACGGGTGGATGATCCTTTGGATGTCTGTTGTATGGTCATCGTGAGAGCATCGGAATGGAATACTATTACTTTTAGACAATAACAACAATATGCTGATTTAATTTGAGTCCATTGCTTATAAAATTTTTAGTAACATTATATTTTATAAATACAAAAGATTGGATCATAAATCAGTTATATCTTAGTATTTTTTTAATCGTTTAATATTACAATTTAAGTCCATTTCTTTTAAAAATTTGAGTAAAATAAAAGTAAAATAGGAGTAAAATATAATCAAAATTTACAAATATGGAATCAAATTAATTGTACATGGTACACTATAAAAATTATTAACTCCTTTAAAAACCAAATGTGAGCTAAGTTGATACATTATAGGAATAAATTATATAAAATAGATTTTTTAAGAATAAAAAATAAACAAAGTATTATTTTAAGACCCAATTTGTATATGGATTCAAACAAAAATCAACAACCCTACTCTTTCAAACCCCAAGAAAAGGTGTTGATTAGAGCCTAAATCAAGGCCATAAAATAATTAATCAGACATTATTTTTCCTGTTAGTGCTAAATGTGTTGTCAGATGTTGGTTACAAATCCACATAATTATAAAAGCACACACCGCTCAGTGATTGGTTTATCAGAGAGTGGGCGATTGGTTGAATGTTGTGTTTGATTCTCCCCAAAACATGGCCATTTCGCGTACTTGTCTTGTTTCAGATTTTTGCTGCGATGTTTAGGTGATGCTGCAATCCCAGTAGTGCCATATGCAAAACACATAGCACTAAGGACAGGTTTTCTCTATTAAGTGGTTAAATAATTTGGTTTTAATCAGCTTGTTCATGTAAGATCATAAAGTTTGGCCAATTATACGCTTCGTTTTGTCTTATTAAACCATAGAAAACTTGTCTTTAATTTGATTTGTCTATCTGTTTCATTTTCCAATGTCACTTTGGGAAGAAGAAATTTCAAATTATATTTTGGTCAATAAAAGGTTTTCCTGTCACATTTCAATTGTTGTTACTGTCCGTAACATTCTAACGTGAGTAACTATTTTCACAAATCATTCCTTCATTAGTTGCAACTATATTGGATCTTCGTCGAAATTATTGTCAAGCTAAACTGCTTAGTTTAAACATCGTTTTCTGCTTCATTTTTTATTTTACCTTTACTTTTAATCACAAAACAAACACTTTATTTTCATTCAGTTTCGTATTTTCATTCAATATTCTACCCTCCAATTCTAACAGAAGCTAATGGCTGTTTATGCGTCTTTGTATTTACGTTAGTGCGTATGAAATTTGAACTAAGATGGATTAAACCACACCCCATTCTTAAATGGGTGCATTCATGCACCTAATTTTTTTCATTTGACCAGCTTACCAATCATAAATGACCTTTCAGATTAATCCATTAATTCATATTTAGTAACTGATTGTTCATGAAGGTAGAATAAGACAAGCCATGAATACAAAATAAAAAAAAGAAAAAGTTGGAAAATTAAGAAAAATATTTTGAATGAAAGTATTTCATTATATAAATTTAAAAACTCTTAGAGTTGATATAAATATTTCATTTAACTTATATCTAATGATAAGTAAATTAATAAATTATAATATGTTAGGTATAAATTAAATGAAAAACTCAAATAAATATAAAAATTTTAAGATTTATATTAGTGTGAGAAGATTTTTTTTCATATATATATATATAAACACTTTAGACTTTAAATTCCAAACAGTAGTGTCTTGGATACATGTTTGAAATATATCACTAATTGTTAGCTATAATATCAACAAATCGTAAAATGTAAACGATAGGTTATGTTTCACACTCTGGTTTGCTATGGTTTAGATCCTTAATCTCATAGTTTAGCTCTTAACTTATATTTGCAACCCAAAAAAAGTTTTAGGTATTTTAACTATGCAAACTGAGACGATTAGCAAGGAAAGAATTTAGGTAACTATTATATCTTCATGTCACTTTAATTTTATTTTTTTTCTTTCCTAACACATTGAATTCTTATATTTTTACACTCATTCAACATTCATTTAAGGAGTGTTAATGAATTATTACTTTTGACTTTGGTATTTTTATAAGAAACAACTACTATAATTTATTTTACCATTATTATAAATAAAAATAAAAATTATTTTAAAATGTATTAATTATTAAATCTTTTTTATAATTTATATTAATGAAACATAACTACTATTCATATAAGTAAATATATTTATTTATTCAATAAATCATTAAATTTATTATTTATTTAAATATTTTTAAATAAAATATAAATTTATAATATATATAATTTTTTATTAATTTTAATAATTTTTATTTACTTATTATATAAATATAAAAAATTATATTAAATAATATTATTTTAATACTCAATTTAGGATTTATACCACATATCCTATACAAAATAAAAATTAGTAAAATTATAGTTATATAGAGCATATATATAGTATAAATATCCAAACTAAGTATTAAAATATCATTTATCTATTAAATTCCTATTAACACTTATTTTTGTCGGTGTGAAATTATCTTTTCCTTGGACATATTGTCTGATGAAAAAGTGGCTCCAAATTCTATTACCCTTTTCAACTAAATCGCCTAACCTTTTTCTCCCCTTTTCAATCGGTTTCGAAATTCTGCCTCTAGGATAACAATAAGAAAAAACATGGCACCATGTTCTCCATTTACATCATTTTATGTCTAAAACTTTACTCTTTCTTTTACTATATGTAACATGAATTTGCACCTTATGTGTTGCAATATAAGGTGCTCTCATATATCTTTTAAAATCATAAAAAGATAACTAAACATTACAATCTCATAAATATTTGATAGTAGCCATTTACATTAAAGCATTTGAAAATCATCAAATATTCACTCAATATGAAAAGTTTACCCGTAGCCGTAATACTGGAATGTGTTTGAAAAAGTACTACAGCTTTCATTACCACAAGAAACAAAATGGAATTTATTGTCCATTTCAAAGTCCTATATATGAACTGGTTCTTACCATACCAAGAAATGAATAATGAAAGGGGTGTTGATTTAACAAGTAAAAAAATAATTGCAATATGCAGCAATTTCAAAGAGTGGTGAGGTTGTTTAGCAAAAGAGCTCTTAAGCCAATGAGATGTGCAGGGAATACTTTAGAGAAGCCAAAGAAAAATGGGAGACACGGAAACAACGCGCACGTTCCTCTCATATCTCACTTGTTTCTTTATGACTTTCGGTTTTCTCTCTCTCTTATAATATGAACTTTCCCTTATGGACAAAATGGTGTCTACCAATTCAAGGAATAATAAATATGTGTCCTTTTTTCTTGTGATTCTCCATAAATACTCTTATTCCCATGCTCTTCTCCCTCTCTCTCTCACCCCTCTCTTGTTGGCCACTGCCTTGTGATCACATCACAGGGACATTAATTATTCAGAGGGGCTTGCTAGTGTTTTCACATATATGATCATGGTTTGGATCAATTCCCCTGTTTTCTCTGTTTAGCAACTTCTTATTGATGACCCTTTTGGTTCAAATGTTTTACTATGTTTCCCTTTGTTGTGTTTCATATAGGGATACCAAAAACCTGCATGGTTGGAAGCTCTTTACACGCAAAAGTTCTTTGTGGGCTGCTCTCACCATGAGAATGCAAAAAAGAATGAAAAGAACATATGTTGCTTAGATTGTTGCACCAGCATTTGTCCCCATTGCTTGCCTTCCCATCGCTTCCATAGGCTTCTTCAGGTTCGCCGTTACGTTTATCATGATGTTGTCAGATTGGAAGATCTTCACAAACTCATTGACTGCTCCAACGTGCAGGTATATATACTGATGTTTAAGCGTGTGTTGAAAATATGTTAAAAGAGTACATTTTCTAACATAAAAATTATAACCAGAAGTTACATTAAAGTAAAGGTAAATCATTAGATATTTTAACACAAATCTTAATAAGCACTGTGGTGCCACTAGTTGAGAGGTTGATTAATTAGTAATTTAGTTCTTCATACAAGTAAAACTTAATTAGTGCATGTTTAGCTTAGTTTATTTTGAAAAATAGTAGTTTATTGTTGATAAATTTGAAATAAAAGTTTGTTTTTGTCAATTTACTTGGAGGTTTTTGGGAATGAAGGTTTTGGAGGGAAGAAGAGGGGAAGGCAAAATTTGTATTTAAAATTAATATTTTTTTAAAATATAAAATATAAAATATAAATTGATATATTTATATAAATTTTATATATTAACCATGTATTTATTATTGTAAATAATATATAATATTTTAATTTAAAATTAAAAAATATGTCATTTCTTTTTTTACTCTCCAAAATCTCTCTCCCAAATAAACAAGAGAACTTTTAAAAAGTAAATAATTATTTCTCAAAATTTAAGTGTTTTTAAACATGTATTCAATTTTATTTAAATTCAATGTTTGTTATCAAACGTGTGACTCTACAATAATATTGTATGTGGTTTGCTAATTTAAAAATGTTTGAATTCCATTAGTCTTATACCATCAATAGTGCCAAGGTGGTGTTCATAAAGAAGAGACCTCAAAATCGGCAATTCAAGGGATCAGGAAACTACTGCACTTCCTGTGACAGAAGTCTCCAAGAACCCTTTATCCATTGTTCTCTAGGATGCAAGGTACACACATACCCCATCTATGCTTAATTCTGTGGACAACAATTGAGTTGTCAATGAGTGATCTTTTCTTTCTCTCCTAAATGTGAGAATTTAGTTATTACAAAAGTAGTGTGATTCTTTATAACTTAGGTGAGTATGTGATATGCATATGTATAGGTGGATTTTGTGCTGAAACACTACAAGAAACTCTCTCCCTATTTGAGAAGATGCAACACCTTGCATCTAAGTCCTGATTTCCTAATCCCACAAGAGATGGGTGATGATGAGATGACTCGTTCAACAATTGTGGACTGTGATGAGCCAATGAGCTCATCCTCAGGATCAGAGAACATGAGCATGGCTTGCACAGAGATTGTTAGGAAGAAGCGTAGTGGGTGGAATGTGTGTGGAAGATCAATGGCCAACAAGGTTTCTAATGAAGACATGGCTACTAGCATGAGTAGAAGGAAAGGCATCCCTCATAGATCTCCTTTGTGTTAGCACTTTGCAATATCAATAGGTGCAACCCTAAACAACAAAAAGATCATTAGTTTACTACAAAACATGTTACATTTTTTTAATTATTAATAATATGATATTTTGACTGAAGTGGAATTATTCAAATCTTCTCTCTCACTCTCGAAATTGAAGTCTTTTAGTTTTAATTAATCACTTTGTCGGAGCTTTTGTTTAGTGGTATCACGTGGTTGCCCATTCCAAGCAATGGTATCTCTATATTGATTCATTTTTAACTCTATATTATTTTAAGTAATTTTCATTCAAAGTTCTGTATAACGACTGAAAAAGTTATTATGTATTTTTAATTAATTTAAAAATAAAAATCAAGTAATAAATATTTGAAACCGTAATTTATCACAAAATGTCAATTAAATTTAAAGTTAGATGCTTAGTTTAGAAGAAATATTATGAGTTTAATTGATGCTTATTTAATTTGAATATAAGGATTGCGATTATAATTATTTTTGGAACTTATGATAGATCTACTTAAGAATTGAACTAGTGAGTTAGTCAAACTTTTATTATTGTTCCTTTTATTATACAATTTTGTTTTGCTATACATTCCAAATTATAATTTTTCTTTCTAATTTTGAATTCAACTAATTTACCAAAGTTTTAAGAGATGATTACTTAGGTTATTTGCCTTGTATTCCATTTATTCATTTTTATTTTGACCCAATTACTACAATGGTTCAATGAGAAGGTGAAATAAGCATCGAATAGTAGAGTTCGGGTGATCAAAAGGCCTCTTTAAAAAATTTGTGTGACAAGCAATTCAAATTCATTCTCTCGTAAGAGGAAAGCTTCACCATAGAGAAGGAATGATGATAATGTTATCAATTATATCAAATTGATACGTGTTAGATACATGTCAATGTATCACTATAAATTAAATAATGTTAAAGATTTAGCTTTAAAATGCAGAGTTAAGTGCATTAAAGATTATCAAATCATATAAAATTTTGCGTCATTATTTAATTAGACATTATTTAACTTTCTATTAAATATCCAAAAACGGCATCAAATTATGGAGCACATCAGACATAAAAAAAAAGTTAGGGGACAATATTAGAAACAAAAAGAACGATAATGCATATGTAAAATTAACGCAGTAATATTGTCAAAAGATTGGCTTTAAAAGTAAAGAATGTTACGTTTTATAAAACATAATAAATTTAGATTGACATTGTGCTGATTTCTAAAAGAAAAGATAGAACTGTAAAATGAAGAAATATAATATTATTATAGTATTAATTTTTATAATAAAAAATGACTGAAATAATAGTGATTATATATTGAAAAAATGATCTTAAAATATTAATATAATTTTTAAAAACAATATAAAATATAAAATAAATTTTGTTAAATAATTCATTTTAATTAGAAAGGAAAATGCTGTAACAAATATGTTCAAGTTAAAATAGGTGAGAGTGCAATAATAAATTTGATAAACTAGGAACACGTGATTCTTTTTCTTCTTCTTTTTTTGGTCCATATATTAATAATAAGAATATAACATAAAGCCCAAAACTAAGGCCCAAATAAATACAACAATGATGCTTCTCGTTTGGACTATTTTTCTTGTGCTTTTTGGTCATTAAGCTGTACTGCTACATGTGACACACAAAAAAAAAAAAAAATTCAAGTGATAAAGCTTATTTTGTTAATAAAAGAACATTTTTTTTATCGACCAAAATAATAAAATAACTTATTTTTTCGTAAGAAAGAAAGATCATCATTCTATCGTGTTTTCAACCCAATACCAAAAATATTGTTATTCTATTTCGATTTTGAGTGCATTTGGATATATTTACAGAGTTTATAAAAATAATTTATGATATCTATTAGTTTTAAAAATGTATTTCAATAAACGTTTTTATACAATATAATAAGAATCAACAAAAATTTAATTTTTTAAAATGCCCTTTAAAAAAAAAATTATATGTTCGTGAATAATTGCTAAAATCAAAGTATTTTTAAAAAAAAAGAGCAAAAAACAAAAGATGCTGGTAGCAGCAACAAACGTTAAAATAAAAAGATATCAAATATTAAACTATTAAATCATTTACAAATTTGGAATCAAAATCACTTTTACCTGTGGGGAAAAAACCCCACAAATTCAGTAAAAACAGGTCACAGATTCAAATATTGTATGTATATATACAAATATTGCAAAAAACGTGCGATTAAATTGACGTTTTGTTACAACCAAAGGCCACCCAACACAAAAGGATCGATGTTGCAAGCAATGACGCATACACATGTTATTGGTAGAAGCATGAATCGTTGTGATTGATAGCCAAATGAAACTTACAAATTTCAAATTTTGCAAACTCATTTTGCCATTGTCATAATCACCCATTTGAAAACACCAATAATGCTCTCTACATTCTTCTCTATTACTATTTATTAAACATGATTTACCGACACGAATTATTTCCCACTATCTCAACTTATGATTATCGTATCAAGAGCTTTACAGTGAACTTGATTCTAAGTGTCTTTTCTTCTTCTTTTGTCCGTTCACATGACTCTCTAATTTTATTTTTGATCCAACTAATTAATAATAACCGTACCGTAAAAGCAATTAAACAAAGCAAAATGATGATTGGACATTACACTGAATTCATTGAGAATTTTCCTTTGATAGTAATGAGTAAGAATATAAAAGGAAAAAGGTTCAGCTTATGGCACTGCATTGAATTAAAGCATTTGTCCATCAAAGCAAATGCAAGGTGGGTATTTGACAAAAACTTAAAAAGCATCGTCACCTTAAAAAAAATGCACCTCTTTAGGTTGTCTCTAACGCCAGATTGTGATGGACGCTTAGTAGAGTCACGTCATCCACATAAAGCTCCAATTTTGATGACCATTTCACCTTTCTTCTCACAAAAAACACTTCACCTTCTGTCTTTCCCGTTGGTTGAGGATAAATTATTATATGCCATGCATGTGACTACCACATGTTTATAATTCTGCTTAATTTTTTATTATATAACATGTGGCTTTGTTTTAAGTTAATTATAGTTGTTGAATCACTTAAACATGCTATGAGAATTTACTTTAATTTTTAACTTTCGATTGAAAAATACCCTTAGCATGCACTAAAAAACTAAATGGAAAAACTTAGCTAACAACATGCCATGTAAAAGTTGATTAGGACTGTATATAAACATGTAGTAGTCCGAAATCATGCAATGATTTCTTGTTGGTTGAGCTTTGATTTGATTTTATACAATTTGTATAATTTATTTATTTTTATTCCTATTGGAGGCATTTTGATGTTCCTCTCTTTTTGATCCACTAATTTCTTATAACCACATTTATTATATACTGGTTTATCCACCCTATAACATAATCTAGTGTGGTATTCCCTAATATGGTATTCTTAAAAGGATACCCACTAATGAACACTTTTTAAGTGCGATGGACAAGTTAAAATATAGTAATTAAGCTAATAAAACAAACAAATTTGTCTTTATTAAGTACCTTTCAGCCGTTGCCCAACACCCAGGAAGTATTTCCATGTCCGGCTATCCTAATGTCCTACTTTGGCAAAGTGATATTTATATATCATTGTAAGTGGAATTGTATATTTAACACATTTAAAACAAAAGATTTTATATTTTTTTTATGTTTTTAATTTTTCAAAATAACATCATACTAAGATATTATTACGAACTAACATTGGAGACATAGCATGATAATTATTTTATTATTTTATAACTTCTTTGAAAAGTATTTATTGATAACGTTAACATGTTTATATTGATAAACTATAATAAAATAATACAAAGTTGCCAACTTTAGTGTAAAAGTTGCTGTTTGATATAAATAGCAACTTCGTGAGACATTTCTCGATTGTTTGTAGCCATATCAGAAAAGTTTCGTGACTCACTAATAAGTATTTTATAGTTCTCAGTGGGATTTACATCCAGGTGCATGCATGAAAATTAAATATTAATGATATCCATTGCCGAAAATAATCAGTGTACTTGGTTTATATGAACAATAATTGAACCGTAATAGATCCCAAAGACCTCTCAAGTTTATAGTTAATGTACATGTCCATTTACTTCATTTGTTATATTGAATGTGTAATCTTATTGGGGTATTCAATGTTACTCCTATAATTGTTTTTAAATTAGCAATTTACTCAATAAATTTCCACAGTGTTTACGTTAGCCCAATATTTAATATTTAAAAATTAAATATTTTTATTATTAATAATAAACATTTCATTTACTAAATATGACTAAATTAGTTGTGTAGAGAGAGAGAATAAAAACAACGGATCTAACAATTTTAAGAGTAAATCGAAACAATAATTCAGATTATTGACAAACTTTATGTTGTTAATAAAATTAATATTTTTAAATCATTTAAAAAATAATTGTTTATATTTAGGCCCACTCTAAAGCAATATATTATGATGTTTTTCAAAACCCAATCTCCATTATGACACACGCGGGGTTGTCTAACTTCTCTAAGTTGGAGGCTTAAAGCAAAGCTACAAATAAGGGATCGAAAACCAAGTTATGAAATTCACCAAATGATCATTCATTCACATTCATCATCCATCATTTCTTAATTAGACACCTTACTCTGTTTATTAGTTGTAGTCAAAAGTTGCTTCATTAATTTTATAGCGTAAAGTCGTTGATAGGTTCTGTATATTAAATACTTGTTGAAATGGATGATTGGGTGGTCCTCCAAAATTGAAAACCATGTAGGCTCCACCTCTGCAGGTTGCCTTATTCTTAGTAGAGCATCATTAATTTTTCATGTGACAATAATGCTATATAATACCGAAAGATTACTAATTTTGAATAAATAAAAATTGATTAACAGGAGTAGCTAGAAGTGGAGCATGACCATTTAAGAGAGAAAGAAAAACAAGAGATAATTGCACATAATATTTGTTTCCTTGCTTTTGTTTTTTTCTTTAAAATGGGAACTAAATTTAACTGTTTGATCCATGT